TGGGGGCAAATGGTGGATGTCTCTGCCAGTTCGTGGGGTGCGGCGACACCCCTCCCACCCTGAACTTCTAAACTGGGAGAGGCAAGCGGCCTTCTGACAGGGCTGCCTGCAGCTGGCACTTGCCCCAGATTCACTCCCCCTTCCCCAATAAATGTCCTGATTTCCCCCATAAAAGGGGGCATAGGATCCTTATGATATATTAAGGGATGGTTGTAAGGGCTCTCCTTTGCTTTTGCTACTAAAAAATCGGTTTATTTAAACTTCACATTTGCTTTGTTTTTAAATTTCTTGGTGTTTTTGTAAAATGTAATAGTACATGCACAGGTTGAAAATGTCAAATTGCACAAAAGGTTACAGAGTGACCTCTTCCCTGACCCTCAACCGCCCAGTCCTCCCTACAGGAGACAAGCCACCATTTTTATTAATATCTTTCTAGAAATATTCTATGTGATGACAAGCATATCTATAAAAAGATAGCCCCCATTTTTACAAAAATTTAGAAACTGGGATTAGGGAGGAGGAGCATGTAGCCAAGCTTAGTCCATGATGATAATGAATGAAGACAGTTATTTAACCCATGCTCATTGAGTGCTTGCTGTGTGCCAGGTATTGTGTGAGGTGCTGAGGATACAGCAGTGAACAGACACATGTGAATAATGACAATAAGAAGGACACCTATGGAGTCCTTCCTAAAGGCCAGGTCCTGGGGCTAAGTGCCCTATGTACATATCTGACCTTAGGGAGTACAGCTATCTAATTATGTGGTATACCTGGCATTTATATAATGTTACCAACTAATGTTACCTCAAAACAAACAAACAAAAAAAACAAGATAACCATTGATCTCCAAGAAATAATTAATTAAAATAATAAAGTGGTGGGAGTCGGCCTCGGCCCAGGCCCGCCAGATTCCGGAAGTAACAGTGCAACTGGGTATAAATGGCCGCAGTCCGTGCCTCCGAGGTAGGGGACTACGCTATTTTAAATCTTCTTCACTCTTCTGCTTGAGCATCCTACTTTTACAGTTGGTGTAAAGGTCAAATTCAGTGCAGTTGTACCAAAGCTGCAATAAATTTCAACCAGTGGAGGCCAGTCAATGAGCTTTTATTATCACCTTGTTAAGGACCTGAGCTCGTGACCTAGGAGGCTGCGCGACTTACCCGGCTCCTTGGCAAACAATTTTGACCCCTCTGATTCAGCGTTTTCAGTGTTTCACTGTGACTGTTAGCAGTACCTGCACACCACGTGTGCTATTATTTACTTAAAACTTGCTCATTGTTTTGGTGTAATGTTTGAAAGGAAAATAACGTTGCTACTAACAACTAGAGAAGCGCTAATTCATCTGACAAATATTTAGGAAGTGCCTAACATGCGGTAGGCAGGGGGGATACAACAAGATCCCCCCACCCGCCACCTTCAGGAGCCAATGTTCTAGTAGGGGCCACAGACAATAAACAAGTGAAATAAGTAAAATGTATAGTATGTTAGAGGTCAGTATTGAGGGGAAAGAGGGAGAGGGATACCAACTATCATTGTGGGAGGGTTATAATTTTAGCTGGGGCAGCTAGGGAAGGCCTCATTGAGCAGGTGACTTTTGAGTAAAGACCTGAAAGGGACCAGCCATGTGGAAATCCAAGAGAAAGGCCGTCTAGGTACTGGGAGCAGAGAGTGCAAAGCCCTCAGGAACAAGTGAGGCTGGGATGCTCAAGGAGCAACTAGAGGTCACGGGAAGAAGCAAGACTACGTAGGAAGCTATTGCTAAAACCCAGGCGAGAGACCTCGGTGGCCTGGACCATAGAGATGGGAAATGGTCAGATGCTGGGAACACTATGAAGGCAGGGCCAACACTTGCTGATGGATCGGTTATGGGGTATCAGGGATCAAAGAAAACCCTAAAACGTGTGGCTCAGCGAGCAACTGGAAGGACGGAGTCCAGTGCATTTATTGCTTATTTTCTTCCCCCCCACCCCCCAACGACCCCCACCTAATGTCTTTCCCACACACCCCCATTTGGGTTTCTGTTGCTTGTGTCCCAGCCTTCTCACTCGATGGAAGAAATGTAGAAAGCACTGGTGTTCAAAAGAACAGATTTAAAGCTGCCTGTGTTTTGCTTATCTAAAATCTGCATGCACTACACAGCTCTGGGATTTGGCAACCTTGAAATGATGACAGTGGAAAATTTACTCTGTTTTCCAAGGATTTAGTAGGCTCCTTTAAGAAGACTGAAATTCTGTACACTGAGTATTCTCTGAGTATTTTAAACATACTGAAATTCTGTTTAGTGTACTTCTGGCACGTAGACTGGTTGGCTGGATGCTCAGAAACACAAGCTTTCTCAGAGAAAAGGAGCATTCCTGGCTTGCCCTGGCAGGTGGGTTTGGTTGGTTGGAGCATCATCCAGTACACCAAAAGGCTGCGGGTTCAATTCCTGGTCAAGGCACATGCCTAAGTTGTGGGTTTGATCCCCAGTCAGGGCACATATGGGAGGCAACCAATCACTGTTTCTCTCTCTCTCTTTCTCTCTCCCTTCCTCTCTCTCTAAAAGCAATGAAAAAATGTCCTCAGGTGAGGATTTAAAAAAAAGAAAAGGAAGCATTTCTAGCTCTTCTAACTTAGGGTATAGCTGTATACTTGATAAACTATGCGTTGATTTTGTCAATAAATTAATGCAATTATTTAAATCATAAGCTCAAACTTTTACTAATTTTACTTCTGGTTTATTCACTTATTAGTTCAAGAAGAGGACAGATTAAATGGAGTAAAAATATACAAGCAGTGACTAATAGCTTCACAGTGAGCCAAGACATTAAATAAGAAAAACAAGACACTCTGATTTTATCTTAAACATGGGCCTGTTACTTTAGTACTAAAATAACTGTGGTATTTGAGTTTAGAGCCAATATTCTGGTCTGTGTACAAAAATAATGCCTTTTTTTGGCATTGAATCATTAAGCATCCACCTTAACTGTTTCAATATAGAAAACAGAATAGTTTTCTATCTTGTCAGCAAATAACCTGCATTGCGTTCAATTAGACAAATCAATTTATATTTCTATCTCAAACTATATCCAGTACCATATATTCATTTCACCAGAGAAATGATAAATTTTGACTATGAAGAGTTTACTTTTGCATTGGATAGTGCAGCAAAATGAACATTTAAAATATCATAAAGGAAAAAAAGCTGTCATGCAACTACCTCTCACTAGATGCCTCCTAACTCTAAAACTTCCATGCTGGTTTCTCCGCGGACTAGTGGCTCCAGACTCCATGAATGCAACCTGAATTCATCTTTTGCCTCCAAGTGCCCCTATTCCTGTACTCTGTACATCTATTAAGGGCATCTCCATCCTCCTGCTCAACCAGGTTAAGAACTTGAGTCACCCTTGACCCCTCCCTATCCTCCACTTCCTATATGAGGTCAGTTGCCAAGCACTGACAACTGAGCAGCTTCCCAACCCGCCTCCCTGCATCTGACTTCTCCCTTCTCCACGGCACTGCCAGAATTCTCTTCTTACAACTCAGACTTATGTTATTACTTGTTCCAAAACCTTACATGTGTTTCCCCTATTTCCTATGGAGCAGCCTAAACTCCTTAGGACAGCACGCGAGGCTTCCCATGATCTGGCCTGACTCCTCCACTGCCCGTGTTTGGAGACACCCAGGATTTAACTTATGGAGGCGATGGAGCCATGGTGACCCAGAGCAGTGAGTGCCATTGGAAGTTCTATGGCTCATAGTTCCCAAAAGATGGAGAACATGGCCCAGAGCCTTCACTGTGGTTTCCCTAAGAAGGAATTGGGCAAGGCAGAGTGGGCAAGTCTGAGCGGGCTTGGGGCTGGATGCTCTGAATAATGTCGATGGACTCTGGGCTATAAAGGTGGTCTCTAACTGTCCTGTAATTGACCTGGGGGCGATTTAGGACAGGGGAACTGGTGGCTTGGAGTGTGAGGTTTAATAAAGGAAGTGGCTGGGGATATGGGCTTTGCATTGGTGGGTTTGTGTATGAAAGGTATGTTTGCAGGCAGGTTGTTTGTTAGTCCAGGAACAGCTCACCCTGGGAGAGGCAATTCATCCGCAGGGCCCCAAGGCTCCAAGATGTCAAAGTAGATAATACAGGAAATTTTAAAAAACACTAGCACATAGCTCCCTCTCCACAAACCATTTGCTCACAACTTTAGCAGCCCCAGAAAATGCTCCTTTATATGAAAAAAAGTTCTGCAGTGCATCTCTCAATATTCTGCCACCATCCATAGCTCTGACTGAGTCGCACCCAGGAGTCCGGTACCACGATCCCTTCCCCACGCCCCACTAGACCAGTGATGGTAGCTGACACAGGCACCCAGTCTATATAGAGGGGCTGGCAACCTATGACCCTTGCGTTCTGCCTCAAATAGAGGAACTGAACCAATCAGATTTCCTCTGTTAAGCATTTAAATTGAGAGCCACAAAAGGAGATGACCAGTTTCTTTCACGTAACAAGATGAACAGAGATGCACAGTGACAAAACTGGTCAATAGGTCTGATCGGACCAGGTCTGGGATGGAGGGCTCGATGACGCCTTTATTTAAGCCCCCAAACGTGTAAAATGTTTTTAATTTCATATAAACATTTAAAGGACCACATAAACACAGTCTACTGCAAACGTATGCTGCAGCTTTCATGGGCATTTCCAGCTTCTTCCTAAACTGAGCTATACACTCTGAGAGAAGAAAACTTCCAGAGGACCCACGGAACAACTCCCCCGCTCCCCGCCTCGGGTCGCACTGAAATAAATCCTTATCGACTGCTTCTGCCTAGGTTGACCCGCCTGGATCGACTGCTCCTGTCTGGCCCGCGCCGGGCGCGGGAAAAGAGTTTCAATTCAGTTTGGCGGCCGCCGCGACCCATTCAGCCCCGGCAATTCCGACTAACCTCTGATTCCTCCTGCTTTTGCATCCCAGACTCCTCGAGGTCTCCCGAATCACACGAGTGGAAGCAGAGAAGCTCAAGCCGCCGCAATGTCCGAGGCTTATTTTCGGGTGGAGTCGGGGGCGCTGGGACCTGAGGAGAACTTTCTTTCCTTGGACGACATCCTGATGTCCCACGAGAAGCTCCCGGTACGCACAGAAATACCCATTCCACGCCTCGGCGCTTTCTTCCCGGAGCGGAGCGGAGGGGCTGACACAGACAACGCGATCCCCCAGGTAAGCCCTCTGGCTCGGCCCCGCGTGGGAAGACTACGGTTCCCGGCAGGCTTTGCGGCCTTGGGGGACCGCGTGTCCAGGGCGCGCTGCCTTTTGGGATTTGTAGTTTTAGGGGGACTGGGGGGGTCGTACCCGCCTACGAGACTGTCCGCTGGTCTCGGCGTACTACAGTGGTCTCGCCACCTAGCCTGGGCCACCTGTACGGAAAGTAAATTGATCCTAGGTCAACATTGATTTCGTTTTTGAAACTACACATTCAGCAGTGTTCTCCCCACCACCATGCCTTAGGGATTGGCTCCTACAGAATACTTCAAGATGCGGGTTCTCATCGCGTTTGCCTTAACAGGTTTAGGTTGAGTAAGAGCATGTGATCCGTCTAGGACCCACAGATTGTTAGATTCATCCGTACATAATGAGGACGGTGTCAGCAACCATTGACTGCGGGCTTTGGTGCCGACATGGGTGGGGTGGGGAGAGTGTAGTTTTCCATTTATTACCCCTCTGACCCTTCAACAACCCTGTAACTAGGTTCTGTTACATAAAGGAAAATGAAGCCCAGAAAAGTCTGGTAGCTTGGGCAGAGTCGCTGTAGGTGGTGAGCTGGGATTTGAACTTGGGGCTACGTGACTTCACATCCAAGGGTACCCCAGGAACATGGCTTGCAGTGGTTATTTTTTATTTCCTATTTATCTTTTGTTTAGAAGGTGGTTTTGTTTGGTTTGAGTTCGTTTTTATCAACATGATACATTTGCAAAGTTTAAAAATAGAACCTAGGGCTGTATGACTTCACATACAAGTGCATCCCAAAGAGAACAGGCAATATTGCTCACGCAACATGTGTTTCTTTTTGTAGCACGCACATTTACTTGGTCTTTGTTCTGAAATTTTTTGTTCTTGTCTGACGCAGGGCTCCAAGCTGGAACTCCCCTTGTGGCTAGCTAAAGGGCTTTTTGACAACAAGCGGCGGATCCTCTCTGTGGAGCTTCCCAAGATCTACCAAGAGGGCTGGAGGACTGTGTTCAGTGCAGATGCCAATGTGGTGGACCTCCACAAACTGGGGCCCCACTTCTATGGGTTTGGCTCCCAGCTCCTGCATTTTGACAGTCCAGAGAATGCAGACATTTCCCAGTCTCTCCTACAGGCAAGTAACTGATGGGAAAACTATGGCACTGCTCACGTGTCAGGGGCCAGCTGTGGCTGCCACCCGACATCACTCCTACCCAGGGAAGTTTAGAACGTACACAATTAACGTATTTATTATTCCTGGTCAGCCTACAGTTAGACTGTATTTGTATATATATACTTAAATAGGACTTGTCTCTTGCTCTTCATATTTGCTTGCTAAGAGTTGGGACCAGCAGAAAGTCCAGGAAATAAGAAAGGAGTAATGGTTGATGGCAGGTGACTTAAATACACAGTCGCAGCCCAGCCCCAGGACTGGTCTGAGGGTTCCTGTTGGAAATACCTGCAGTATTTGGTCATTGTTCCCTTCCCTTGCTCTGGGCTTAAGACCTGGCTCTGCTGTGTATCAGCTGTGTGACTTGGTCAAGCTACTTGACCTCTCTAGGCATCAATTCTTCACCTGTAAAAGGACAGCATAATAGTGCCAACACTAGAGTCGTCGTGAGATTCTGTAGAGCCATTTGATAAATGGTGGCTATTATTATTGTCCACGGACAAAACATTCTTATGCCTGTGTTACTCTCCTGTGTGCTATAACTTTAGTTTAACTTTGGTAATTATTTTTTATTCTGTTAAAACTAGAAGAAACGATCCCTTCTGTCGCTTGTTTTACTTCCTCTTCTGTAGCTTTATAACAACTGTTGGCTCAAGACACTTCCGCTCCCTGGACTGTGCCAACACCCTCCGTCAGGCTTAAAGGTTGTTTGGCCTAACATATACTAGTGCTGTTTTCAATGTGATGGTTAAAAAAGAAAACTGTTGCTATCCACTCAGAGAAAGGAGTCAACCCATAGACCACAGACAGTTCAAGCTTCTGAAACCCTTCTGAGCAGAAATCCTTTGCCTTATAATGTCGCCAGGACATGTCCTTGAATTGGAGCACTGCCCTTTTCAAGGGAGTCCCTTGTTGTCTTTGCCCATCCCTGCTTTGAAGCGCTGTGGGCTGGCATCGCTCGCATGTCAGGTGAGTTTGCCATCAGACGGTTGCAAACTAAAGCGGGGGCTTGTGGCTTGGGCCCAGAGCCCTGAACTGACCCCCCTAGATCAAATGTGTCTCCAGTCTGCTCTCAGGCTGGAAACAATAGAGACCACATTCAGTTAAATCAGGAGTCTTTTCTAGTTGAAACTTGTCTGCATGTGACCACAGTATAGTCTCATGGCCTCTGTTACCCATGGCAGTAATGGGTGATGCTTTCTGAGGAGCTTACTCTTGCCAGCCATTTGCTAGGTGCTCTGCACATGTCGCTTCGTTGGGTTTCCACACGACCCAGTTCGCAGGCAAGGAACTCGAGGCTCGCGATATGAAAGAACTTACTCAGACCTCCTTCTGCCTGAGTCCTGAGACAGATTCTTCCTGTTCATGTCATTCAAAGGTTTGGGGATAATAGTGAATCTGATTTCTCTTACTCCCCCCTCCTTTAGACGTTCATTGGACGCTTTCGCCGCATCATGGACTCCTCCCAGAACGCGTACAATGAAGACACTTCGGCACTGGTAGCCAGGCTGGACGAGATGGAGAGGGCCTTGTTTCAAACAGGGCAGAAAGGACTGAACGACTTCCAGTGCTGGGAGAAGGGGCAGGCCTCTCAGATCACAGCGTCCAACCTCGTTCAGAGCTACAAGAAGAGGAAGCTCACTGGCCTGGAGAACTGAAGGCCGGAAGAGCACAGAAGTGCTCCTTGTAGGCTCATCCCTGTGTGCCCTCGCTAAGAGCCCGGTGGGCCCTGTAAAGGGCCAGAGTCATACGACTTCTCACGGCTTATGTACTGTAGCTGTCGTGGCGATGGTGTCGTCTGCTTGGGAAACAACATGCCGGAGGGTGTCCCTCGTGCTATGAGTTTTCCAGGACTAGCCACCCTGCTGACCCACAACCCAGGCCTACGTCACCCAAAGCCACAATGGCGGAGACATCGGAGTTTTTTGTAGCTAAAGGTCGTTAACACATATGTTTCAGTAGAGCTGGGGCTGGAATTCCTTGGGCTGGGATGTCGACAGCCTTCGATGTCCCGTTTCACCGTCTCCGAAGGACAGACAGGGCCGTGTTAGTCTGTTCGCGAAATGTTCTCTAAAGCTGAGTCACCTCTCCCTGGTTGTGCAAAGGACAGCCCCCCACCCCTCCCACGATGCCGGTCTTGTAAATATCTCTTGTCACCTGCCTGTGAGGAGTTACCCCAACTTCCACAGTGGCAAAGAATAAGGAAGGGAAAGGGGAAGGCAGCTAAATATCATGACTTTTGCTAAAGAGCAATCGCTACTTTCCTTCTTTGTAATCTGGGAGTCACGGGACTTTATCATCAGCCTCGACGGGAAATGGTTAAGCGGAGCTTGCTTTTGTCTCCGGGATCTTTGCAGCCCCCTCAGTCCTTCCATTCGCTCCCCAGAAAAGCTGTCAGGCAGTTGAATTGAAAAGTGGTTATTAAAGGGTGTTAACCAGCCCTTATTTCCTTAAAATCAGGACTTCAGTTTGCTGGTTGTAAAGAGCCCTATTTGAGAAGCTTAACATGGCAGATGTAGGTGGGCAAGAGGCTTCCCTTATGTTTTCTTCCTTCAGTCCATTTCCCAGCAATTTTACGTAGGGGATTCCTGACCGTTTACTGAGAGTGTGTTTAAACAAGCACAGAGCTGTTTCCCCAGAGACCCCCGAGGAAGCCTCTGGCTGGTGGGGACAGCGGGGGCCCTGGGCTGTTGGGAGGCCAGCTGTCTTCACATCGTGGCGCTAGGGGAGATCTCCTTTGTCGCTGGAACCTGGAGAGGGGTTTGGGTATCCAGACTGTAGACGCCTCAGTGCCAACTTGGAATGTCAGAAATGCTTTTAAAATGCCTGTTTAAGATGGAATTGATGTTTTTATCATTTGATTTTGGTACTAAATAAACAGCCTGCTTTTCACCTGCATACGTTCTGTACAAGTGCTATTTCTATACCTGGACTACTCCAGACGATCAGGCAGTGCCATCAGAGAGCCTTGCCTTGGATCGTTTTTGACGGTAGTGCCCACATAAATCCGTGTGTGAGCAACTGTTCTTTCGTTTGCATGATATTCATAAATGGGAGCGACGTTCTCTGTGGGAATGTGCTGTTATTTAATTGGGACTTCCCTGGGGACCACAGCACTTCCATCGGGTCAGGACCTCCAGAGACAACTCGGAGTGAAAAAGCACGTTATTTAAGTATTGGATTCATTATTTTCACAGATAGCTTTGTATTTAACCTCAATCCTAAGGCTGCTGCCATTTTTTTTCTCTTACCGAAAAAAGAAAAAGAAAAACCAAAACTGCCCCGAGGCCACATACCAGGAATATGTGAGTGCACACAGCCAGAATGTATTCCCTGTTTTAAATTTTGAATGGACTATATTACAAGTAGCTTTTGAAACCCATTTCCAGTAACAAATTTGCCTTCAAGCCTATCAGTTACTGCCATTTTCCCCCACAACTCCTCACATTAGTCTTTTGGATTACTGTTTGATCCTTTCAAAGAGGTGGATTTTTCAAAATGAGTTGACAAATTGACACAAGTATTAAATCTTAAAATCAAGGGAGAAAATGTGTGTCTTTCCCCTTCAAAGCTCTGCCCAGGTAACTGGTCTTAATTAGAAATGGAAGACTTCACTGTATTCAGGTTTTCCCCTGGAACCATCTGGGCTGCAGAGGGGAGCCGGGGCAAGGCTTGGTCCCCTGGCTCCTGCTCTCTAACCTCTGACCTCTGGGCCTCCTCAGGCTCAGTCTTGAGAGCTGCAGCCATTCTCCCTCCTGATTCAGTCCGGTGTCAGGCTTTGAATACCAGCTGCATGGTGATGACTCCCCAAATTCCATCTCTGGCTCAGCCCTCTCCCTCACTCCAGACTAACCCTGTGCTTGACATTTCCACTTCCACATCTGACCCAACATGGCTGAACCGAGCTCCTAACCTTACCCTCACAGCCTGTTCCTGTGATCTTTCTCGTGTCTGTTTTTGACAACTCCATCCTTCCCTGCTGCTCAGGACAAAACACTGGGTGTCCTTGCCCCCGCTCCCCTCACTGTGTCTTGTGGGTCTGCCCTCAGGTCATTCGCAGAAGCTGACCCCCTCTTCCCCACTCCTGTCCTGGGTGGTGCGGTCACCCCCCTTCCTCCCTGCAGTCCCCCTCCACCTGGCCTTCTGACTCATCTCACCAGAGCGGCCAGAGCTGTCTCGTTCACAAGTGAATCAGATCTTCATTTTCTATTCAAAACCATCCCATCCCAGAAAAGGGCTACTCCACCCTCCCAGCACTGTTTGTCGGGGGTAAACAATCTCTCTTTACCACCATGATTTGGTACTGGATTTTCTTACTACGTCTATAGCATAAGTAATTTGTTTCTTATTTTAAATAAGCATTTCACCTTCTGCCTAAGAGATTTCTGAGCATCTTACAGAGCTTCTCATTGATCTCTCAGCACCCCTGGACCTGAGAGGTTTCTGGAGTACTGGGAAGTACAGAGTGACTCACTCAAGTTTATACAGAAGGTCAAGTTCACTCAGGCCCGTTCTGGATCTGTCTGTCCTCGTTTGTTCCATCACCCTTCAAGAAATCCCAGGGAGGCTTTTCATCTTTATGCTTGGAACCGTTGTGCTTAAGTGAAAATACACTACTTTACACTGATCTTGGCAGAGGAGAATGGCAGAGGCCACGTGCATTTCTGAAAGTCGATATTTTTGTGTTCAAGAGAAAAATCTGGACTTGAAGTAACTTGTTGAAGAAAATGTAGGACAGATGTTTAACTCAAAGGATCTTAATTTCAACAATTCTTATCCAGTATACGTCAACTGAACATTTTAATATTGAATACACATAGAAACAATTTTCAAAAGATAATTAAATGCCCTAAACCTAAGGAAAAGTGCCTAAAGTGTGGAATTCTGTTGCTAACTCTTGATACTGCCATTCTCAATGAACAAGAAATCCTTGATGTGCAGTGAATAAAACATACAGTCAGTCAAGGGCAAGTTTTGAGAAAACATATAGTCACTCTCTTACTGAGAACAGGGGATTAATACAGGCAGATCACTCCTGCTTTTTGAGCTCATTTTGTTGATTTTTCTAAGCCTTTGCATTTCTGCCTAGCTAATCGAAGGAGACATGGTGCAACCAACCACAGCTCACCTGCCAAACAGCCTTCCTCTGGGACCCAGGTGTTCTCCCTGTTGCTTGGGAGGTGGTCTACAGCAAGGTGGAGGTGAAGCTGCCCCCCAAAACCAGAGGTCTCCCACCTGTCTGCTTTTCAGATATCAAAGTCAAGTCAATTAAAAGGGGCATCATTGCATTAAACTCTTTATTCAGAAATAATTTTAGATTTCTATAACAGTTGTGGAGGTAGTACAGAGTGTTCCCATGTACCCCGCCCCCAGCTTTCCCTAACGTTTTACACGGTCCTGGTCCGCGTGTCCAACATGGCACTAAGGGACTGGCTTCAGTCATATTTCACCAGATTTCCTGCTAAAGTCCTTTTCCTGTTTCAGATTCCAATCCTCTGTTGCATTTTGGGGACAACCATTTTTGAGAGCAAAATGGACCATCAGACTCTTCCCTGCATTAATTTCAGAAGTTGGGCTTATTGGAAAGGCCTCCTTGCTTGGGGGTGGGTACTGTTAGGCCGTGCCCTGGAGCCAGCTGCTGCTAAGCTCAAGTAGGGAAAAAGTATTTGCTTTCCACCTGAAAATTAAGCATTTCTGCCAATACTTGCATCTGATGGGGAAAAGCCTCTTTGATTTGCCTTGAAACTTTTCGCATTCTCTCTCTCTGATAGCACTGACTTGATTTTCTCCCCTTTCCCATCTGGCACGCACCAGCTAATTCTCTTTGTGTCTAAATGAGCTTCAAATGAGCATGGCTTTATACACGATGTTATTAACAAGTGTCAGCACAGCTCCCAAAATAGTGCCTGGGCGCTGCTAACGTTTCCGAAGGAGAAGCTGCAAAGGGAACACAGAACCGGATAATCCTTGCAAACATCTCCCACCTCTGCCCAATTAAAACAAAACCAAAAAGGCCAGAGTTTTAGATCTTCATGACATTGTCTGCTCCTGTGTCATCCTTGAGAAAGAAGGTTCCTTGACTCCCACGTAGTTTGCGTGGCTCCCTTTTTGCAACTAAAATTCTTCCCTGAGGACAGTGTCTTCAGGTTTGATGCAGAAAAGCAAATGACTAGCTAAGGAGTACAGATGCCGATGCAGCAAATGAGGCAGGCGATAGAAGAACGGTGTGAGTCAGTGAAGGAGAAGTGTGGCAAGAACGCGTTTTGGTGTTCAAAGAAAGACTGGAGACAGAAACCGGTATGAAAGCCAGCATTGCCAGCGTCACAGGAGGAGAGAGAGAACAACCACTGTGCCCAGAGAGTGACCTTATCTTAATGGGAACAAGAGGACTTGGCACTTGGCTATCTTTCTCTTAGGTTCAGGAGCAAAACATTTTAAAACCTTTCAAAAGACACTGTCATTTTCTAATTTAGCACTTTATGCTCACTCACTCACTGCTTTATCCAAGGTTCCAGTTAAATATTAAGTAATATGATTTTTTTCCCCCAACAATTGAGTAGTCCAGGAAGTATTTTCTCAGGTTTTTAGCCAAACTTAGGCCTTAAGCAACAAACATTTCAGGGGATGCTATTAGCTGAATTTCTAGGTTATTTCAAAG